CTCTCTCTCTCTCTCTCTCTCTCTCTCTCTCTCAGTAACAAACCAAAGACAAATGGCACAGCTTTCTTCTGTGACCTTTAACCTTTCTATACCAGCTGACTGCACGAGGTGAGCAGGGTCAGGATTGAGCTGCACAGCACGAGAGTGAGTTTTTCTAAGACCAGGTGTGGGATTGCGGTCTGCTTCATGCCTCCCAGTACTTTTCACACCAAGTCCCCAAAACTGTCTTTGCAAGTATGAGTCATCCCTTCCTCCAGGCTTCGGTCAAGTGCGCTTCCGTCCTGTGTTTCCTGGATTCCGCCTCCCACGGTGCAGTTCGGTCTTCTGTACAACAGGTTGTCTTTGCTGCACCGTGAGGTCCATTGGAAGGACCCTCCCCTCCCCCACCGCCACCAGTACCTCAGTTGTACATGTGCCAGAGAAGAGAGGGCTGTCCTGATTTTAGAGGAAGGAAGGGAGGGAGGGAGGGAGGGAGGGAGGGAGGAAGGGGGAGGGAGGGAGAAAAGGAAGGAAGGAAAGAAGGAAGGGAGGGAGGGAGGGAAGGAGGGAGGGAGGGAGGGAGAAAAGGAAGGAAGGAAAGAAGGAAGGAAAGAAGGAAGGAGGAAGGAAGGAAGAGAAGAGGGAAGCAGAGAGCGGGGAAGTAATGAAAAAGAGGAAAGGGAATCAGGACAGCTGTCTGGGATAAAGCACAGAGACCAAAAACAGCATGAGGAGGAAAGGGCTTATTTGGCTTCCACGTCCTGATCACAGTCCTCTATGGGGGGGAGTCAGGGCAGGAACATGGAGGCAGGAACGTAGAGGCAGGAATGTGGGTGGAGGCAGGAACTCAAGCAGAAACCATGGAGGAGTGCTGCTTATGAGCTTGCTTCCCATAGTTTCTCAGCCTGCTTCCTTATACCACTCAGGACCACTGTCCAGGGGTGGCACCACCCACAGTGGGCTGGTCCCTTCCACGTTCATTATTAATCAAGAAAATGTCCCACAGGCTTGTCCACAGGACAACCGGATGGGGGCAATTTCTCCGTTAATGTTCCCTCTTCCCTAGTGACACTAGCTTGTGTCAAGTTGACCAAATGAACCAATACACTGTCCAGCTTAAAAAAAAAAATTATACAGAACCTAACTATGTAATTGGCCTGAAACTCTCTATGTAGACCAGGCTGGCCTTGAATTCAGAGACCAACCTGCCTCTACCTCCCAAACTCTGAGATTAAAGGTGTGCACCACAAGCTGAGTGGTGGTGGCACACGCCTTTAATCCCAGCACTCGGGAGGCAGAGGCAGGCGGATCTTTGTGAGTTCGAGGCCAGCCTGGTCTACAGATCCAGGACAGGCACCAAAACTACACAGAGAAACCTTGTCTCGAAAACAAAAACAAAAACAAAAAACAACAACAAAAAACGGTGTGCACCACAATGCCTGGCTCCAGCCAAAATATTTTAACCCTTATGCCAGAGTCTAAAAATTCAGTCATAAAAATGTCAAGGGCCCTGTGCCCAGTGACCCTGTCATCTCTCCAGCCGACAGGCCAGGCACCAGCTGTAACCCATGAGCAGAAGGCGGAAGCTCTCTGTAAAACAAGCAGCTCTGGAGGGAGGAGAGGACTGAGGCCTGGGCTCTGAGGTGGGTACAGGGCAGGGAGGGAACTGCTGAGGTGTACAATGAAGAAGAATGTCCCAGCAGGGTGGGGATGCTTGGGGGAGGGGTAGTGCGCTGGAGGTGAGGACGCATGTGGGCAGCGGAAGGCAAAGACCCCGGTGAAAGGGACCGCTATGACCCTCCCGCATCCCCAGGGCAGGTTCAGACCTTGACACTGTTTCATACCGCACGCCTGAAGGATGCCGGGAGTAGCCTGTGTAACGTTTACTCACCTCTTTCAAATTCTGCTCTGTGTCATCTTCTCAGGCAGGCCCTGCTCCTTCGGGTGGGATGCTCGCACCCCCTCCCAGGTACTTATTGATGCCTAATCCCCAGTGGGACGGTTTCAAGAGGCAAGGCCTTTAGGAAGTGACCTGACCATGAGAAAAGACGGATTGCCTTAGAGAAGAGCTTAAGGAAAGCAGCTAGACCCTCTGTCTTGCCCTCTGTCCCCTCTGCCATAAGGGCACAGTGGTTGTCCCTCAGGCACCGTTTTGGAGGCAGAGAGGCAGTCCCTGGACCATACCTGCCAGCACCATGATCTTGGGCTTCTTCACCTACAGGTCTGGGAGGAATAAGCCGCCATTCTTTATCGACTACCCAGCCTCAGATGTTTTGTTACAGTAGCACGAGATAGACTAAAACACCTGTCCTGCTCACCTGCTAGGAAAATGAAAACTGGGGATGTAGCTGAGTGGTAGCCTGGTATTCGTAAAGCCCTGGGTTCGAATCCAGAAACAGCAAAAAAAAAAAAAAAAAAAAAAAAAAAAAAAGGGCAAAATTTTAACCCACTTCCTTGGCATTTTCCCCCAGGGTTGCTCACCTTGAACGTGAGTTTCTACTATAGCGTTTGGTGATCGAGTGTGGACGAATGGGTACAAAGATGACTTGAAGGGTAGGTGATTAGATGGACAGATGGATGAATGACAGATGAAGAATGACTGTGTGGTAGGCAGATGGAAAGGAGACAGAAAAAGAGATAGAATGTGGTAGTAAAAATGAGAGCAGAGCACCTAGACAGCACGTCTGTGGCTATCCGGGGTGTGGGGGCTGCAGTCGTGGCTCCCAGGAAGTGGGAAGGTAGAAGGGGAGTGACAGGTCTGCTCACAGCCGTCTGCCTTATTCCTGGAACTGTATGTAGGTTGGTGCCTTTCCATGACGGCACTAACATCCATTAAGGGGGCCAGGGAAAGCCATCTCTCTTTCCCTGCACTTCCATTTCCTCCTTAGGAAATGAGAGTGGAAGGAGTCACGTGGGAAATCTAAATGGCCCATCCCGGCAGCCTCCGAGGCCTCCGCAGAGCTGGAGTGATTGCTAAGAGGTCAACTGAAGCATAAAAGCCTTCTCCTGTAATCCCTCCAAGTCTCCAAGGATTTAGGTAACCAAGAATGATTAAGGTCCATCGTGCAATGAACCTTGAGCTCCAGGCTAAACTGCCCTCAACTCCTGTTGTACGGAGGAGCCAGGTACAGCAGTCAGGTAGCTCCTGGCCATGACCTGAGTCCACAGGAGAGTCCAGATTATGGGTTTACCTCAGTGCTGGAGACATGATCTCCAGTGGGTGTTCTGTACTGGGAATGTGGGAAGACTCATCATGTTTCCACCCAGGAAAGCCATGGGAGTGAAGATTCGACCATGCCTCCAGCTGAGAACTTTACTGCGTGATCCCAGGTTAAGCCTCCACACATACACATACACACATACACACACACACACACACACACACACACACACACACACGCATACGCACACGCACACGCACACGCACACACACCTGTTTCTCTTTTGTTTGAACCTCTGTTACTTCTGTTGTCTTCCAACCCCTAACAGGCAACTTCTTTTTTTTTTTTTTTTTTTTTTTTTAATCAGTTAAAGGCCACTAATAGCCAAAATGAATAAATTGTAACATGGTCACACCGGAGGCCGTGGCATTTCAGTCTTCACTGACTGTGACCTGATAGAAGAGTCCAGGAACGCCACTGTTAAAGACTGTGCCTTTTGCCTGGGGTCATGTGTGTGAAATCCTTCATATTTAGAAGCTATGAAATCTTGGGTACCTAGTCTCCTGTGACCATAAAAACTCTGAGCATGCTCATGCAAGGAGGGAGGGGCCCCAGGCAGCCATAATCTTTCAAAATTTCAAACTTGGATTTCTCTTCCTGTGGTTGCTTTACAACCTGTCAGCACAACAGTACGTAGCTAAGTGGACTTAAAGAAACCCGAGAAGCCAGGCGTCAATGGCGCACACCTTTAATCCCAGCACTCGGGAGGCAGAGCCAGGAGGATCTCTGTGAGTTCGAGGCCAGCCTGGTCTACAAAGTGAGATCTAGGAGAGGGCACCAAAACTACACAGAGAAACCCTGTCTTGAAAAACAAACAAACAAACAAAACAAAACAAAACAAAACAAACAAACAAAAACAAAAAAGAAACCTGAGAAGGTGATGGACACAGAGACTAAGAATCAACAATTTATGCAGGGCCAGCACCTCTCAGGAGAGAGGCTGAGATGTGTGGCTAATGTCAGACCCTAGAATGGACTTGAAGTCACTGGACCTTTTTATTTTCTCCTCTACTGAAGGTGGCCACGTTGAATAAATGTCCCCTTTCTGCTTTACCCATTACTTGACTCTTTAATTGACATGGGGATGAGTAGCTGGATCCAGCCTAAGGAGACTAACCCTGGCTTTTGCCTTTAAAACTCTGGTAACAGGGCTGGGGAGATGATTCAGTAAGGAAAGCTCTTGCTTTGCAAGCTGAGGACCTGAGTTCAGTCCCCAGGATCCACATGAAAAAGTTGCGCGTGGGGCTGGGGAGATGGCTTAATGGGCCAGAGCACTTGCTCCCTAGCGCTCATGGGAAAAAAGCCAGGCAGTCATGACTGTGATGTAACCCCAGAGCTGTAGGGAGAGAGGGAGGAAATGGTGGAAACAGGAAGGCGGGGCTTCCTGGGCAGTCAGTCCAGCCCAAACCTATGAGCTTCGGGATCATTGAGAGACTTTGTATCAGTAAGGCCGAGTATCACAGAGCAGGACACCTGACATCCTCCTCTGGCCGCTGCATCTGCTCACACACGTGCTCTCACACACACACACACACACACACACACACACGCTTACACAGCTGAGCAGAGTGGCATGTGCTTGTTTGTAAACCCGGCACTGGGGAGGTGGGGACGGACAGCTCCTTAGGGTTTGCTCGCCAATCTTGCCTACTCTGTGAGTTCCAGGTCAGTGAGAGACCCTGACTCAACAAATAAATAAATAAATAAATAAATAAATAAATAAATAAATAAATAAATAAATAAATAAATAAATAAATAAATAAATAAGATGAATGGTGCCTGAGGAACAACTCCCAAGGTTCACCTCTGGCCTCCACACTCACGTACACTCGCTCGCATGCATGCATGCATGCATGCACGCACGCACGCACGCACGCACGCACGCACGCACATAGAGCGACGCTCTTCCGGTAACACCACCAAGGTCCACTGGGAAACTCACCCTTTCACTGGCCACCTGACTCCTGCCTTAACTGAAAGGTTTCGATGGTGTTCCCTGGGGCTCCCTCTCAGATAACTCCCTCCTTTCGGTAAGAGCCAAACTGGTGATTTCTATACATTCCCTTTCAACACCAGAACAAAGCATGTCCCGGTTCTCACTGAGTGGCTGGCCCTCAGTTCCCTGGGCACAAGCACTCCTCCAGTCTCAGCCTCCTGAGGCTATGAGATTACAGGCCTGTGCCCTGGCCCACTTTGCAGAGCCGTGTCTAATTGACTCCTTTCCCCCTGAGTCCAGATCTCTCAGACTGCTAGCTTCCACCTCCTCTCGTATCTTCTTTGAAGAGATTCCCCAGGGTGCTCTCCAAAGAGAGGAACATTTCTTTGGAAAACATTACTTCTTAATGGGTCCATTAGATATTCTAATAATTAAGAATGCATGTGGAGAAGAAGGCCTCGCCTGACCAGCTACCACTCTCCACCCTTGTGGAGAGAAAATTCACTAGAATTTTCTCATGGCTCCCCTTGTCTGTTTGTTCTTTATTATTTTAAGGTGTGCATGCGTATGTGCATGCATGCGTGTGTGTGTTTGTGTGAGCACACGTGTGCTCGTGGAGGCCAGACGTGTCAGATCCCCCTGGAGCTGGAGTTTCAGATGGGTTGGTCATAAGCTGCTCGGTATGGGTGCTGGTAACTGAACTGGGAGATCCCCAGCAGGAACAGTGTGTGGCCTTAACCAGTGAGCACAATCCCCATTTGCGTTTTAAAATCTGCTTTTTATTTCTGTGTTTATCCACCTGCAGGCTTCTTTTTGGTTTCCACCTGTTCTACCCCTTCAGACTGTGAGCTCCATTTATGGAGAAAGCATGCCTACTGTGTTTTCCACGGTGGCCCCCAGCGCATAGCAGAGCTCCTGCCCCAGAGAGGCATTGTTAAACCCGTCATTGAGTGGGTGGATACAGTAGAATATTCGTGATAAGTGATGTACCGTGGTGGCCTTGGCTAGTATTAACTGAAAGGCATGGTGCAGCAGGGTGGGGCAGGTGATGCTGGACACACGACACCTGGGTTCTGGGGAGCAGAACAGAGTGGGAAGAAGCCAATGGGCATAAAAAGCATCCTTTATGATAGAAATGGTTGCCCACAGCTGGCCGGCGTGGTCTGCATCCAGAGCGGGCAGAGCAGCTTCAGGCTACTGGTTCGTGCTAACAAAGCAGACCAGCAGGCTGACGACAATGCCCGCCTTGTCCATGGGGACACCTGGCAAAGCCACTACAGCCGGCATCCACTACGGCTTAAAGAATGCATGCATGGATACGCTGGACCAACTGCAAGGATCACCTAGTCATCCAACCCCTTAAGATGGAAGGAAGCTCCATGAGTGTTGTCTGAGTTTTTGCTGGATTCCCAAGATGAAGGGTGCCTGGTGCCAAGTAGGTGTTTAATATGACTTTCATGGAATAAATACTGAGGACTCTTGTCCAAAGTCAGGAAAACCTATATGAGATAATTGGAAGATGGAGTAAAAAAGTTTCTTTTGTGCAGTGTCTGGGAAATGAAGTTAGGAGCGATTTTATACATTTAGCACAAAGGGGCTCTGCTGGTTAATCTTGATTATCAGTTAACTGGACTCAGAATGCCTAGGAGATCAGTAAGCACACCTCCAGTGCCTCTGTGAGGGCATTAGACCATGATGGTTCTAGCCTAGTGAAAGGTTTGATCCACGAATGGAGCCTAAATTTGAATATACTATTAGGAGGGGACAGAACTGTGGGAGGTGGGGCGTGGCTGAAGGAAGTAGGTCTCCAAAAGAGCCTCGGAGGACCACATCTTGCCCTGGCTCTTTCCAGTGGTTTCTCTGTATCTGGTTTGTTGTGATATGAGATGTCCCACCACCCCCTCCCAACCATTTTAAACCTCTGAAACCATGATTGAGACATATCGTTCCACGCGACAGTTGTTTCTGTAACATCCTGGGCCATAGCTATGATATGACGACGAACACAGGGCTATAAAATGGAACAAAAGCAAAACATAATTCTTTTTCTCATAATATTCCCCCCTGGCTATGGAGAGCAGTGTTTTTAGACTTGTAACTTCTAGCTGAGGGAGTAAGAGGAGAGGTCAAGGTTCAAGTTGGAAACCACAAAATGAGGTAAATCTTTAGAGGGGCGTTGACTCCTGGGACAGCTGGACAGACAAATTACTCCCGACCAGATAACCACTAGAGCCAGACTGTGTGGTTAGAAGGTCCATGTCCTGGAACTCAGTCTCTAGGCTTAGCTAGCTCAGTTGTCCCATGTCTCATCGTGTTTCTTGCAGGCACATGAAGAAACAGCTGTAGCATTTCTTGCTCATGCTGTTTACCTAGCTCTCCATAGTTTTAGGAATAGCTACTGGATTTCTCTAAATTTAGTGGTGAATTTTGGTAAATTTAATACAGTCACTCAATTTGGGACAGTTGTGGGGAGAAGGACACATAGGGAAAGTTTGATTGAAGGGTACAAAGTTGAAGTTAGGAGGAATAGGCTTACACAATCCAGCAGAGAAGTGATGACAATAAGTAATAATGTGGTTTATATTTCAAAATTGCCAAAAGGTCACATTTTAAATGTTTTATCCCAAAATTACAATTACATGGGGATAATAGATTTGGTTACTAGCTAATTTAGTTATCTCATATTGTAAACATATATCAAAATACTTTGTTGTACGCCACAAATACATTCGATTATTAGTTAACTTACCATAAACTTCTGAAGACTTGAATTTGTCTGATTAAGAAGAACCCATTTCAGCCTACTCTTTCTTGGCTACACCCCAATCTCTAACCACAATTAAATGGACTAAAGGAAAAGGTTCTTTTTCAAGATATGATTGGATTTTACATGCTTTGGTCCCAGGTCGTAGAGAATTGGGTTGGGTTAGGGTTAGGGTTAGGGTTAGGGCTATGGTTAGGGTAGGGTTAGGGTTAAGGTGGTTAGGATTAGGTTTAGACTTAGGCTCAGGGTTAGGTTTAGGGGGTTGGGTTTTGGTTAGGATTAGGGGTTAGGGTTAAGTGATAGGAGTTAGTGTTAGTGTTAGGGGTTAGTGTTAGAGTTAGGGATTAGGGCTAGCAGTTACGAATAGTGTTAATCTCATCAGACCAATCAGAATACTTGTATCTGATAATTACTTCATTCAATAAAATCATTGGATTTTTTTTGTTATCAAATGGTCAGCTGGGCTATGTGCCAGGCAAGCCCTTGAGAACAGACCCTGGAAACAACACACATTTGAAATTCTTTTGTATCAAAACAAGCTGTGAGGACAGGATGCAGTTGGAGGTCACTCTCTCTCCTCTGCCTGGACCCGGGTTACTATAGTTCACCAGGAAATAGTTTGGACCCTGAAAAAGCTCCAAGTCCTGCTTCAGGGAGCTCATGCCTCTTGGCTTCCTTGCTGCTCCTTTGTGACCAGAAGATGGCTGCACAACCACATGCTGGGCCACACTGCTCCTATTGTTCCCCTCAGAGCACAGGAGAACCCATGCTCACTGGTTCCTGATTCAGGATGAACAGCCTCCTGTGAAGACAGCCCCAGATGCCTGGCCTCCAGGGTGTGGTCCCTCTGCATCCTGAGGCTGAGGACCCGTGGAGACAGCTGCATGCAGAAGCCCCTTTCCCATGCCCTTCCTCATGCACACGCTGCCTCTCAGTCTCTCCATGTGTGGTGAGGACACCCATGGAGAAGAAGTGACAACCTGTGAGTCCTGCTGCTTTCCAGGAGTCCCCAGGGCCTGGTAGTGTGGGAGGTAAGGAGGAGTCAGGGGTCTCCTGACACTGACAGATGCCAGCTGCTGTGTGGGACCAAAGGTTTTTAATGGTGCCCAGTGTGGTTTGACCCTCCCCTCGCTTCCTTTATCATTTCTTCTGTGCTTTGGGATGTACTTGTTAATCAAGGGTTGATTCTGAAAACAGGCAGGTTGGAGGGGAGGCCAGGAGAAATCTCAGGGGAACCTTAGAAAGTCTCAAAATCATTGGCTCATCAGAGAAAGTCACTATCTAAGACTCAGGTTCCAATTCCATCCCAACCACGGCTTTGACACATAGTACCAATGTAGTGACAGTGGCAGCTGCCCAGTTCATACCCAGTGAGATGATGGTCTGACCTAAGGCATCGCCACTAGGAAAGAGTGAATGAGTAGTAATTTAGGAGCCTCAATATTTGGAGGTAGATTCTGACGATTTTCTTACGTTGAAGGAAGATGAAGAGAAAGTGGGCATATGGAGGGACCACACCTTCATCACAGGGATGCTTTAAGAAGTAAGTAGCATAGATCCCTGCTAGGTTCTTTTTTTTTTTTTTTTTAAGATTTATTTGTTTATTATCTATACAGTGTTCTGCTTGCTTGCATGTACCTGAACATCAGAAGAGGGCACCAGATCTCCTTACAGATGGTTGTGAGCCACCTTGTGCTTGCTGGGAATTGAACTCAGGACCTCTGGAAGAGCAGCCAGTGCTCTTAACCTCTGAGCCATCTCTCCAGCGCGCCCCCCCCCCCCCAACTAGGTTCTTAAAGCTCCTGTCCCCTCTCATTTTCTTTAAAGGCAGGGTAGTTCCGGCTCTACCTGCCCCACCCCATCTTTCTATGACTGACTTAGCTGTAGTGTGGCCAGGCTCCCCTAGTCCCCACAGAATAGCTGGAAATAAACATGGCCTCTCTAGTACTGCTTAGGGAAAATCCTGAAAGCCATTATCTCGTGGACAGAGTGTTTCCTTCTTCCTCTGACACAAAACTGAGAACTCTTTGGGAAATGGAAAAGACAGCCTAAATTACAGCTGAGCAGCTGCTATGGGAGAGAGACTGTCTGCAGTGGCAGCCAGGGCTGTGGCGGCTGAGTCTTCAAGTCCTTGTGGTTCTGACTGTGACAGCATGTGAGAGATCTCTTTTTTTCTAAAACACAGCGAATGAATGGACCTGCAAATGTCTGCTTCACGAGCAACCTCGTCTCTCCTCAGAAACACACAGACTGAGATTTTCCGGGATTGTTCTGAGGTCTGGAGGAGCTGGCAGGAACTAATTGTGGCCTTGTTTCTGATTCTTCGACCTGAACATATCTTCTGTGAGAATTCCTAGCCACTCCCCCAGCTCCATGACCTCCGGTGTGCTGGCAAGATGCTTAGCCATCCTAGGGCCTTGTGTCCTACGTAATCCGTGTGCTGCGTGATCTTGTAATTTGCAAACAACGTGATCACGTAATCCGTGTGCATGTGTGCTGTAGCTAGGTAAGCCGTATGTGCATGTGCGGGAGCAGGGAATCTATAAAAGCAGGTTCCACTTGTTCCTTCCCTCTCTTCCTGCATAGTCGTTCCATAGGCCGATGCACATCTTTCCTATTCCCTTCCCTTAATAAACTCTTATAGTGGGTTTTGTTGTACCTCGTGGCTTTTCTCTCACGGTAAACAGTGCCGCTTAATGAATAACACTGCGCCTCATAATAAATAACATCTTCACGCCCTTGTTTATTCCACAAACACTTACTGAGCTCCTTCGCTGTGCAAGGCCCTGTGTTGGAAGTCCCGGGGAGGGAGCAGAAAGGACATCTCAGGGCAAGTGAAACCCACTGTGTCATGGTGGGCAAGGCAGCCAACATCTGTGAGCCTGTCCTCTTGTCCACAGCTGCAGGTCGTAACCTACCTCACATCGCCCCCACCAGGCCAACATAGGTAATGCATGGGAAGTGCATCCCTAAGTAGCGTCCAGTGCCCAGCAGCTGGCTGGTCGGTCGGAGACACTGTAACCAGAGTTTTAGGGTAAAAGCCCTGGCTGCTGCAGCTCTAACAGGCTGAGACAGAGAAAACATGATGAGAACAAGAAAGGGGGTTCAGTCAGCGTGCATTTGTAAGAGGAACAGATGAAGGCTTCCCACACTCATCTTCAGGATGCCGATGTGCACGGTAGATTTAAATAGAGGAAGCACTGGGGTAGGGAACCCTAAAAGGTGTGATCCCACTCCTCTTTGTTATGGCTTTGGTGCCACAAGGTGGTCCCATCTGTCAATTCCTTTATCACACAAAGAGACCCATCTGGTCAGGAAGTTGGTTTTTATTCTAACACGATCAGATTCCTACAAGATGATCTGCTCCAGGGTGAAGTGTCTCCATCACAGAGGAAGTAGACTGTCCTGCCTGGGAGGCTTTGTTGTTTCTTGGGGATCCAGGGACAAGTCCATGCTTTTGGACAAAGGCAAGTTCTAAATGCCTGCTCAATGCATTCAGAACTCCTCCGGGTTTTTTCTAACTTCACATTTCACTGTCTGAAACTGTATCCACGTATAGAAATGCCCGAAGGACAGTCATGTAAGTCACCATCTCCACCCCCACCCTCAAGCCCTCTCACCTCCCCCCTTCTTCTCCCCATGCTCATCTCTCCTTCCCCCTCCCTTCTCAGACTCCTGCTGCCCTTCTCTCCTTCTCTGTCTCCTCTCTCTCAAGGAAGGGCACAGCTTCCAGACATCTCAGGCTGTGGGTTACTCCCACCCCTCAGGAGAGATCCCCAAATCCACAAATAAACATGAGCATGCCACAGTCTCTCTACCCAGATGGTGATAAATTCGAGACCTGAGAACCTGGGTCTCTCCTTCCACGGTCTGGGGCCACAGACCAATAGCCAAGGCTCTATCACCTTCCAGCATTGAGAAACTTCCCTTAACTCCTCCACACTCAGAGGACTTGTGTAAAAAAAAAAAAAGTTGAGGTTCTAGGGTGTGATGGAGTGAAAAGTCATAGATTGTCAGTCAAGTCAACTCTAGGACCCTAAAGATCCTCTGGCAGAGTTCCCACCCTTTCTGTACCAGGGACTTGTTTGGCATCGATGATGATGTTGATGATGATGATGATGATGATGATGATACAGGATCAAAACTATAGCTCTACCTATCTTCCTGTGGGGATCATGGGTTCCAGATTATAAATCCAAAATAACAAAACCTTTTGTAGAAATCTTAAGAGCATCTCTCAGGTCCTCCCATGTAAGTAAAAGCCAGAACAAGTCATCTCCCTATTCTTGGACAATCAGGAACTAGTTGGTTTATTATTTTAGGAAGTTTAGAAAAACAAAACTCATCTTACTGCTCCTACACTGCAAAAGCCTTCACTGGTTTCCACATGGGAAGGTGTGGAGTTACCCGGCTGGCCCTTTATGTATATACATGAGGCTGACCTTGCTTCTTGAAGGATTGCAAAACCAGACAAGTGTTATTTCCCATAAAACATCTGGAAAAGCTCCCAGCCACTCTAACTGAACTGAGGATTCAGCCAGCACACCGAAAACCAGCTGCAGGAGTCTCGGTTCTTGGAGCTGGATGGAGGGCAGGGTTGAAGAACTGAATGGACAGGTTCAAGTCTGCTGTCAAGTAAGTGACCTTTGTCAGGAAGTCTGGAACACTGGTTTCTCAGTCTGTCCCAGACAACTCAGCCTGAACGGTGAAGGGCCTGGGTATATAGCTCAGTGGTAGAGCACTTACCTAGCTTGTTGGAAGTCCTGGCTTCCATTGAAGAAGGGGTCAGGGAGGCCCAGGGAGCTATTGATGTCATCCTTACTCTGCTACAGGAGGAACAGAAAGTCTGACAGAACTCCAGCATGGAGACAGGGGGTGGGCTCAAGCTCCCACCACTAGCTGAGGAACTGTTGGCATTCGGGAGAGGTCGAGTCAGTTTTCTTTAACGATGTGACCTCTGCTAGGTCGACCACATGCCAGGGCAGGCCCCACTTCCGAGAGTAGTTGGGTGGTACAAACTGGACTCGGTGTTGAGGGGAGGGCTCAAAGTTGGGTGGGTGGGATTGTGAGGGTGGAGAAGGTGGATTTGGGAAGAACTGGGGTGATGGGGGTGATCCAAATGCATTGTAAGAAACTCTCGCCGGGCGGTGGTGGCACACGCCTTTAATCCCAGCACTCGGGAGGCAGAGCCAGGCGGATCTCTGTGAGTTCGAGGCCAGCCTGTGCTACCAAGTGAGTCCCAGGAAAGGCGCAAAGCTACACAGAGAAACCCTGTCTCGAAAAACCAAAAAAAAAAAAAAAAAAGAAAAGAAACTCTCAAAGAATTAAAATATTTAGAAAAAAAGAAACTGAGCAAATACATAACCTGAGGGCAATGACTTCCGAGCAGCTGACCTGGCCTTTCTTTCCATGCTGGGGTCACAGAACATGGCTAGATAGAGGAGTTTGGAGCAAGTTTTAGATTCTCACTTCATGACTTTAGAAAAGTGCTGTGGGATGTTCTGTATGTCAAATGTGTTGCTGATTAGTCAATAATTAAAACACTGATTGGCCATTGGCTAGGCAGGAAGTGTAGGCGGGACAAGGAGGAGAATAAAGCTGGCAAGTGGAAGGCTGAGTCAGAGAGACACTGCCAACCACCACGATGAGAAACAGCATGTGAAGATGCCGGTAAGCCACGAGCCATGTGGCAAGGTATAGATTTATAAAAATGGATTAATTTAAGCTGAAAGAACAGTTAGCAAGAAGCCTGCCATGGCCATACAGTTTGAAACCAATACAAGTCTCTGTGTTTACTTGGTCGGGTCTGACGGCTGTGGGACTGGCAGGTGAGAGAGATTTGCCCTGACTGTGGGCCAGGCAGGAAAACTCAAGCTACAAATGGCGCCCAACGTGGGGCAAGAGTTTCCACCTAAAAACTGAGAAAAAAAGATTCTAAAACGGAGCTAAAAACAGCTTCCTAATTGTCTCTCTCAAATGAGCGGCAGCTGCCGGTTTGAGCTACTTGTGGGTTTCTGTTGTGCGTGCTCGACCTGCAGTTTGGCGGGAATGAGGCCTCTGCAAGTGGCACATTAAGCTGCATGGTGGATTTAGCCTTTGCAGGTACAAAACAAAAAAAAGAGGTTTCTGGGCTACACGCTGCTTGGATAAAAGCATAGAGACCCACGATAGCTCCCAGAGCTGGTGGAAAATGCCATGTTGGGAAGCTAAGGTGGGTGGAGCCAGCAGCCACAGCTGCTGCAGTTTAAGGCAATAGATTCACAATAAGACAGATTCAGATGTAATAGTTTACAATATGTGTAAAATATACGTAGGCTTAAAAGAGACAAAAAAGGTGATATATAGAGTTATAGAAACAAATACATAGTTTTAAAAAATAAAGTCTTTAAAGAGACAGGAAAGGTAGTATAAAATATAAGCCATGTAAAAATGGATATTACACAGAGAATCTGCATTGTGTTGTCTTTGGGACTTGTAACTGCAGAAAAACATTTGATTGTAAAAGCTGTTGAGTTATGCCAAAATGTATATTTTAAAGGTATCTTGACTTCAAAATTTGAATATAAGGATATGTTACTTTGGAAAGGAGACTCTGCTTTTGTTCCCACAGAAAGCCAGAGGCTATGGATTTGTTCAAGATTAAGATACATCAGGTTTGACCAGCCAAGACCCCCTGAAAGGTCTCCGATGATACCATGGCCCAGATGATCCAACATCCAGAATGGTTTCAAGGCAACTGGCTCAGACGATACAGCCTCACGGACTACTCCATGATCCTAAAATTTTCTTTGTTTCCCCATAAGATACAGCGCCCCCCTCCAGCAGGAAGTAGTAAGAGAAGCTACGCCCAAATTCCCAAATTATATGTAATTTTACTTTGTTAAGGTTAAAACCTTCCTTTTTTAAAAAAAAAGGGGGGGAAGTGCTGTGGGATGTTCTGTATGTCAAATGTGTTGCTGATTAGTCAATAATTAAAACACTGATTGGCCATTGGCTAGGCAGGAAGTGTAGGCGGGACAAGGAGGAGAATAAAGCTGGCAAGTGGAAGGCTGAGTCAGAGAGACACTGCCAGCTGCCACGATGAGAAACAGCATGTGAAGATGCCGGTAAGCCACGAGCCATGTGGCAAGGTATAGATTTATAAAAATGGATTAATTTAAGCTGAAAGAACAGTTAGCAAGAAGCCTGCCATGGCCATACAGTTTGAAACCAATACAAGTCTCTGTGTTTACTTGGTCGGGTCTGACGGCTGTGGGACTGGCAGGTGAGAGAGATTTGCCCTGACTGTGGGCCAGGCAAGAAAACTCTAGCTACAGAAAAGTCACGTGAGCAAGCCCCCTGGCCTGCTTCTCCATTGTTCACCCCTCTCAGGGGGTAGTAGTCACACCTGCTTTCAGGATGTGACATGCTTAGAGACAACACTCAGAAGGCACTGACCCAGCACCTGGAATGCAGCGTCCTGTAGTCAAGGGCTATTACTCGAATTAGTTCAAGCCTCCTGGGGCATGTGTGCGGGCAGGTGGAATCAGCCAAGTGGAGGTGTTCAAAGCAGCCATCTATCATGAGCTGCGTAGACAAAATACCCCGCAGAAGCCATGGAGGGAAGGTTTGTTTTCTTTCATAGTTCTAGAAGCTTCAGTCCATTGAG